TCACGAGCTCAATTTATGCATGCGTTCAATGACAATTAATGTCGGTCGACTGAAAGAATTCTTGCTTTTCTTTCGAATTACCGATCTCAAACATATGAAGAAGGAATGATGAAGAAATTAGGGAAAAGATAAATTTTCAAAAAAATATATATATATTTTAATATAGATTTATTTATCTAATATTTAATATAGCATGTACAATATAATTTAAACCATAGACCACATAGTTTACATTCTATAATAGAATTTTTATCATAAATTTTGTGCAATGTGTTTATCGCGTTTATTAGTAATACAATTTTGTCTTAAAAATGTCTACAAAATATTTGAATTTTTCACTAACACCGTGCGTACATTGACTTAGTTTATAGTACGCATTGCCGAAACGCTCCTGTTTCCGCCGCGTTCTGCGTCCTTCCACGTGTTTTCGCCAAGCGGGTCACAGCACAAGTGCCGGGCGCTAATCTTTCCGGGGGCACGCAGGGCTCGTTATCCCCGCGAGGGGGCCTTATCGTGCCTGATTGGCGCGTGGCTCCGCGGTTCCGCTAATTGCGTCATGCTCGTGTCGCATGTCTTGGCGCGCAAAAGAGGTGGCAGGATCTTTTCGGGCTGCCTCGTGGCCTCGAGGCGCCTGTTCGGGGCTCTCGCCGTCCTTGGAGCGTAGAGTGGCCACCCCCGTCCTGCCATTCTAATCCTCGGTCCGCCTTGTGCCTGGAAGAGGATACGATAGAAGATGCCTTGCGACAACAAAAAAAGCGTAATAATGAATGATATCACCTGCGTGCGACCCGGGGTCGGGTGTCATGCGACGGATCCGTCAGCAGCAGTCGTCACTCGACTTCCATTCCTGGCCGTCCTCTTTCTTCTCTCTTCACAGTCCGGTAAGACGGCGTCAGTCTGTCAAGATCGCGAGAGTCGCCGACCTCTATAACTCTCGGTACGAGAATACACAGAAAAAGAGAAATAAAAACGGCAAAGCGAAACGCGTAAGACACGCAAATAATGTCACGAAAAAAAGCGCAGGTGCGTCCGCCCCCTAAAATGCGGAAGGACTCAGGACGCTAGACTGCACTCTTCGGTCGGGCCATGCGGCCCTTGTGACGGATGAAAATCGTCACGTCACAGTATATACTACCCTTGAAAACGTCTCACGCTATGAATTATTACGTTCCAATTCAACAGAATGAGGCGTGTGGAGACAGTAAATTTATTTAATTTTTATAAAATTTTGATTATATTAGGTGTTGGAATTAATTCGTAGCGTTTTTTTAATGAAAGAATGTTATTTATTTCACATGAGCATTAAAAAATACATTAATGAAAGTACTTCCCATCACTTTCTACTACTTTTGACCATCTTTCGGGCAGTGAATGAATACCGCGTCGGAAGAACTGTTCATCTTTAGATGAAATCCAGGAATCGAACCATTTTGTACAATCTTCGTAAGATGTGAACTTCTGCTCGCACAAGCTATGAGCTAATGATCGAAACAAGTGGTAGTCGCTAGGTGCAATATCAGGAGAATACGGCGGGTGCGGTAGCACTTCCCATTTAAGTGTTTCCAGGTATGTTTTTACCGGTTTTGCAACGTGTGGGCGAGCATTGTCGTGCAGCAAGATGACTTTATCGTGTCTTTCGAAGTATTCCGACCGTTTTTGCTTCAATGCACGGCTCAAGCGCATCAGTTGCCGTCGGTAGAGATCTCCAGTAACGGTTTCATGCGGTTTTAGCAGTTCGTAGTATATGACACCCTTCTGATCCCACCAAATACAGAGCAGGAGCTTTGAGCCATGGATATTGGGCTTTGCCACTGATGTTGATGGTTCGCCGGGCTTAACCCATGACTTTCTGCGCTTTGGATTGTCATAATGGATCCACTTTTCGTCACCGGTAACAATCCGATGCAAAAAACCTTTTCTTTTCTGCCGTTGAAGCAGCAGTTCGCACGTGAGAAAACGTCTCTCAATATCCCTTGGTTTCAATTCATATGGGACCCAATGTCCTTCCTTCTGGATCATGCCCAAACTTTTAAGACGTTTTCCTATTGTTGAGAAGTCAACTTCCAATGACGTAGATAATTCTTTAAGTGTTTGACATGAGTTTTCATTGAGCAGTGCCTGCAAATCGTTATCTTCAAATTTTTTCGGCTGACCAGGTCGCTCCTTGTCATCCAAGTCGAAATCACCAGCTTAAAACCGTGCAAACCACTTCCTACACGTTTGCTCAGCCAGAGCATGTTCACTATACACATCCACTAAAATACGATGAGCTTCAGCTGCACTTTTGTTCATATTAAAGTAATGAAGCAAAACTCCCCGCAAAAACACTTTATCTGGCACAAATGTTGACATATTCAATGAATTATACAGTATAGTTATTTATGATTTCAAGAAAGGTTATGTACGGCAAATGACGTCCTATGATAGATGTTTACAATGTATACAGAACTATAGGTAACAACGAAATAGTGTACTACTTGTGCCATCTCTTGTAAAACGCTACGAATTAATTCCAACACCTAATACATTTTATACGTTATATATTTTTCTAAGATCTATTTACATGTTTTCTATTTTCTACAGCACATCTTCTCATACATCTTCGAAACCTCGATACTTCATATCTTGATGAGGAGATATGCATTGACATCGACAGCGTATAAGTTCTTGGACATCGGAGTCGTGCAATCTACATCTCATGTAGAAATTGCGATCTGCGACAATCGAGGCAACCTAATTCTGCTGAACATAATTCTGCCTCATGCTACATGGAAGGCGTTCATCGAAAGACGTGCAGATATTGATCGATTAACTGCAGTCAACTGTCCCATCATCATCATAACCGATTCAAGATCTGAATGTAGAACTTGTTAAAGTATATGATATGAAAAATGTAAAATTGTCATTGTATGACACATGCTTATACATGAAACCAACAACCGTACTCTTCTTATTTGCGAGACGACCAGGACGAGCACCTGCGGGGAAGTCACGGAAGAAACGAGCGTCACAACTGTACAGTCGCCGGTTTCCGAATCCGGGAGGCGTGGTTCTATCATAATTCTATTGGGCGTATTACAGTGAGCGCACATGGCATTGCTGTGCATTAGATTTCCGTGGGATTCGAGTGCGCGTGTCACCTCCCGGAACGATTCCTTATCGTCGAGATAATCCTACTGCGTCCGCCAAGGCCACAGCCTCATCATTCGTTGTAAGCTTTTGTCGCGGACTTTTTTGTATCGTAATATGTCGAGATTCCGTACTGTAATATTGTCGCGTATCTTGTTTTGGAAGCCTGTGTAGGATCTGCATGTCCATTAGAGCATCGGCCCTCTGTGTCATAGCAATTAATGATAATTTATGATCGCAATTAGTAAATGCGCGTATTTTGTCGTATCGAGATTCCGTAGTATCGAGTTTGCATATATCCTATCTTTCTCAGCTGAGCGGCGCGAAGCCCTGTGAGCGTGCACGAGGTCACGCCGTGTCCGCGTTATAATCATTGCCGAATTCCATCGTAGCTTAGAAGCGGCGAAGTCTTGTTCGAATAATTTGCGAGAACTCTGTGTGACGTGAGCTCGTGCCGCGGGAATCTAACGAGATTGATACAGCTGGCGTAAAACTGGGGCTCGTACGAAACCGTTGTCGCGCTTGATCAGAACTTATCGACACGATGTTGTCGACAGATGTAAATGCAAGTCGAAGACTTATTCAATATATGTGTTAATTTTGTTATTGTTAATTCTGGTATGCTTTATTGCCGTCCCTGTTCGCTTCTCTAAACGATCGGCTATCCTCGATCACGAACCGCCCGACTCTGCCATTTCTGAGGCTGAACTACCGGTTGAGAGCCTGTCGACATTCATAGCCCGCTAGAATATTGCGTAGAGAGAAATTCGCGCAATTTCGAGAAAGAGTGGCACGCTTACTCGTGCCTGGCGCCCAACTATTGTTTTGTGATTGTGTGTCGCCCTTAAGAGCGGCCGCGTGAAGATGCATTTCTGTCGCGTTTCGTTTAACGCCACCCGTCATCTGATCGCCTAAGAAAATCTTAGCTGTGAATGCGCGACGAAGTTGCGCCACGCTCGTGAGTGTGGTTGCAAATTTACTCTGATACAGTAAAAGCAATCTGCTCTATGTAGTAGAAGCGTCCACAGAGCGACTGATGTAATAAGACTTATGTATCATAAAATTCTTTTTTTAAATAGTGATCCCCACCACAAATTTCCAGAAGTTTTGTATTCCACTGAATCCTCAGAGTATGTAGTAAGCCAACTGACTGAATAATAATGTCACCATAAGTCTCACTAATTAGTGCTCACCATTTCACATTTTCCAGCAACATATCTAAGTTATCATTAAAAATTATTATTTTCGCATCAAGAGTTATTTCAATTTCGCTTGTGTGTGCAATTTTACTTTAATATAGATAATTACATTTTATGACATTGAAGTAATATAGGATGCGTCATCAAAATCCGGACAAATCGAACAATTTCTTTAAACAAAATTTTTAATGAAAAATTAAATATTACAAAAAATCTCTTTACATGGCACTTGGGAGATCCCTATAGAGCACAATTATTCGATATATCCCTCATTATGAATTGAATGACGGCTTTTATTCTCGGTCTGAAGTGTTCACACGTTGTAATATAGCGCTGTCCGACGAATGTAGTCTCAATAGTAGTCCTTAATGATGTCACATTGGAATGTCAATGTTACGTTTGTGCCGAGCCGACATACGTCATAGATCGCCACTCGTGAAGTTCTGAAAGTCGCGTTGCCAAGTGATATGTGGCTCTATTATTTAACAAAATCGGCAGATTTAGACGTGAACCGTCGCTGCACTCGGACGTGCCTCTCGATCCGCTTCTCATCGATCTGTTCTGAGCTTTACGTGTGTGTGTGTGTCCTGTGTTCATTTCATAATAAACTCTTCTTGTTCTTTCTATAATATCTGTGTTGTTCATTTCTGCGGGCCGGGAGTACGTAAACGCGTTCTCGAGAATGTTTCTGCGAGCTGGACGTCCGGACGTAACATTTTTGGGGGCTCGTCCGGGATCGTATAATGATTCATTATAACGAATATAATTCGTTCGTCAATCATTACGAAGAAAAGAGCTCTAATGGAGAGTCCGCAGGAAACATCAGCACAGAGAGAATTGGAACTTACGATGGAAGCGACAGTTCAATGAGCCGCTTCAGAGGAAGCTTTTTCCGTCGCATCGATGCTTCAAGCTGTTCTACAAGAGGTACAACAGCTGCGTGAGGAACAACTTCGTACAAAAGCAGAATTTATGGAGATGTTGCGACAACGGAACGCAAAGGTCGCACAACAGCAACGACAGGAGGAACTTGCGGCGACGTTGCGATAACGGAGATTGCGCAGCTTCAGGGAAAATTGTGAGGAATTCCTGCAAAGTTAAGTCTCTCTAATAATGTTTATAATAATAATCCACTCTTTCGCATCGATGGTCGTTCCGTTGTTGCTGCGAATGACATTGTCATTGTGCATGCCAAATCCTGTTGCGAGTGTTGTCAACTTCCCTGATTCCGTCGCGAGCATTGTCAATAGCACGAATCCGCTCGCGAGCGCTGTCAACTTTATTAACTCCGATATAAATGTCGTCGGTTGCACAAATATTGTGAATCATCGTGAATTGTCCGCACATTCGGGAGTGTCAATCGTTTCGATCCACTTGCGCTGCTTCGCGGGAAGGCATGCATAAAACTGAAACCACACATTTACGACGGAAGTGCGCCCTTACGCGAATTTTTCGCGCAATTCAATCTCATCGCGCGCGCGAATTGTTGGGAAGAGGAAACAAAGACCGCTGTTTTGGTTTCGTGTTTATGAGGCAAAGCGCGTGCAGTATTGGAAAGCATGCAAAATTTAAAAAACTTACAATTCGAAGAGTTAAAGTTGAAATTGGAAATGCATTTCGGAGAGACGCATTTCGTTACAAAACTATTATTCACAATTTACTAATAGAAAACAGAAATTCGGAAAAAATATCGCTTCTTTGGATTCTGACATAGAAAGGTTATCACACTTAGCTTATCCAGAGTGTCCCGATTCGATTTGCGATAAAATCGCATGCACACAATTTGTTTCCGCTCTTTCCGATGAATTCGTAAAAAGGGTTCTCAAAATGGAGGGAATAACGTCGTTAAGGATAACAATTGAAAGAGGGAAGGCAAATGAGAAAAGAGGTGAATAAAATTATTATAGAAATGGAAAGATAAGGGGTAATTAAGGAATCCACCAGTCCATGGACCTCGCCATGGTACTAGTTAAAAAGAACGATAATACAATAAGATTGTGTGTGGATTATCACAAAATTAACGCAAATACGATAAAAGACTCTTACCTAACCTTTACTAAGGATAGATGGTATTCTCGACCAACTATCAGGTAACAACTAGTTTTCTACCTTGGATTTGAAAAGTGAATACTGGTAAATTAAAATTCGCTCAGAAGATAAAGAAAAGATGACTTTTTCAATTAGTAACGGATTGTGGTAGTTCAAAGTTATGCCTTTCGGTCTTTGTAATACCCTTGCTACATTTGAACAATGGAGCAGATTTTGAAAAGTTACCTTTTCAAAATTTACTCAGTTTATTTTCATGATTTGATTATTTTTGGTAAAAATTTTGAAGAAATGTTGTTAAAACCTAGAAAAGATCGTTTGAGGAAAGCAAACTTGAAAATTAACTAACAAGGGAACCTCTCGAGGTGTCAAACTCTAATTTTAATGAAACTTTGTGAATTTGTAGCTTACATAAAGAGATGAATTTAGAAAATATCAGTTGTGACTGAAAAACGTTTGAAGAGGTGAAATCATTCCTTACGTGTACAGCGATTTTCAGCTTTTTCCGTTATGTCTCGAAAACTATTTGAGATATGAAAAAATGTTTTATACAAAAGTTTTACAATAAAATTATTTGTATTCACTCGTGTTTTTAGAACAATTATTTATTAATTTTTTGTCAAAATTTTCAAAGATTGTTAAATAATTATTCTAAAATATCATTGTCGTGAATAAATAGAGGTAATTTTATTGTAAAACTTTTGTATAAAACATTTTTTTATATCTCGAATAGTTTTCGAGATATAGCGGAGAAAGCTGAAAATCGCTTCACATATGAGACCTGATTTCACCCTTCAAATTCTATGTTGCAGCAATTTTCATAACTTTTTAAAAAAATTATTATTTTTAAAAATATTTATTATAGATAGAGGTAATTTTATTATGAACCTACTTGTAAGTAAATGTCTGTCCCAAGAAAATGATAAAATGCAATCATTTTCACATCATCTGTCATAAGGATAGCATGGTGTGCTTTTTTTATAGTGATTTTCCTAGTAGGCCTATTCCACTCTAATTTTTTTATACACGAATTATTCCAAATGCCGTCATTCCTCTCTTGACTACTTTGGAACATTTAAAAAATTATATTTAAAAAGATTTATTATTATTAAAAAAATATATTATTATTATTATTATATAAAAATATATTCGCGCGAGTAATATTTAAAAAATGCTTATCAGAATATTATAAAATTACAACATCCTTTTCCTCATTTTTCTCAATACGTCATTAATTTAATAATGCAGTTAAATCATTTAACTCAAGAAAATGTTTTAATTGACTCTAATCTAATTTATTTACTTACATTAATGTGAACGTTGCTTATATTGAAATTAAGTACAGAAATGGGAATCATCGGTGGGGTGTCGCGTGCAGGCAGACCACCGCCACCCAACCCAGAGAATCCCCTGCCCAGTTGGAATGGCTCTCCGGAATGCGGAGTCAGTGGCGATGGCCTCTCCTCCACTCAGCGAGGCACTGCATGAGCATGCTTTGTGTCCCGGCCGAGAGGTTGGTCTGAGCGAGGGCGCACGACATTATTCGGTCCCCCACTCCTCGCCCACCCCAATATCCATATTCTCATCAGTATGGTCATCAGCGGTCGCCGTCGCGCCTTTATTCAGTACCGGGAACGAGGATGTTTCCGGCACGGCAGCCATCTCGACATCAGCAACGGTGGACGGCACCGCTGCCGCCGTCGCTGCCACCGCCGCCGCGATAGTGCTACTTCCCTCCTCGCCTAGGCAGGAGGGAGTTTGTGGACGCCCTGGAGTCTCTGGGGGAGCATATTTGCAGATGCTCCTCCAGGCCGATTTTGGTGGGAGGGGACTTTAACGCCTACTCGGTGGAGTGAGGGTCTCCGACTCCAGGGGAGACAGCACCCTGCAATGGGCGGCGGGACTCGTCCTTTTGAACAGAGGCCGAGTCAGCACCTTTGTGGGGCCGCGGGGGGAGTTCATCGTCGA